GTCATTCTGGCGTCAGCAAAGGCCGAAATCCGCCATGTTTTTGCGGACACTTTTTGATGCCGAGCACGTCCTCCAGTAATATAGTATAGCTCAGTGGTTATAACCCGTGAATATATTACATAATTATAGACTAAACTTGTCGAAGATTAATTTTGATCGAAAGTCTTTGAAATTGATGAAACCTTGTTCGAAAACCTCCTCAACTATGAAGTCGGTTATAAACCTCGAACTTGGGACATACAAGTCATGTATTTGCCCTCGGGGTCTGCGACCCCTCGGGTCAGTATATGACTTATATTATGATATAAATAATAATATATTATATGTACTATTTACAACATGAGCGCCGTGTTGTATCGGACGCGAATATAAATGGCTTGTGAAACGTCTTGCACGTGATAAGAGCATTCGTATTCTTCCTGAACAATTAAAAAATGAATGATATTTGTTGAGAAAACTTAAATTAAAGTTTATGTCACTTTCGGCAGATGGGGGGTGAAAGGCGCTTGATGCGACGACAATTTGCGACAATTGACTTCCAAAGTTCACGTTCTACTGAGAACGACAGACTGGTTCATCTCGTGCCGTCGACGTACAACAAACGACACCAGTTTTAACTCACGCTGTTATTCTACAATCTAGCATATACAAAAAAGCCAGTTTTATTTTAACTTCGCATGGGAAGTATATTCACTGATGTTACATGCTATATGCATGCAGTGCCACTATGCACAGGTTTCGTGCGTTCGACTCCTACTGAATCAGTCAACACTGTTGAATGCCTGGCTGTTTGTGCATAAACATAATTAGTTAAGCTGCATGCTAACCTTGCTACTGACGGCTACCGGGGTCAGAGGTGCATGTTTGTATGATTTCTGCAAACAATCTGAAAGCGTGCCGTAACATTACACGTAATGTTTTCACAATAGCAAAAACAATTATATTTCAGGCATGCATGCAATCAAACAAGGACCTATTAACACCTACATATTTGACCTAATATATATATTTTTTATATACTAATTTGCCTCAAAAAGTTTAATTAACAAATAAGATAAAGTATTTAAAAAAAATAGGGCTAGGAGCTTCCCTGCTGTCAGAGGTCTCTATTTGTGTAGGAAAACGAAGAAGAGACCTCTGACAACACCGCGGAAAAACGTCTGCGCATGCACCAAAAACATGCTTATTAATTGGTCAAAAATTAGTAAAAACAAACGAGAAAATATAGCAAATGGGTAGACTAGACATTAATTGAAAGCGTCCTGGCATTTAAAGTATGGAATGAAATATAATTCATGTAAAAATTTGTTGATTTTAACGGACACGACTTCGAAAATATTTGCAAAATTATTCAAAACAAAAATTCAAACTCAAAAGTTAAGAAAACTCTCGAAAAGTTAAGCTTCTTAACCCACTCAAATTGTAGAATAAATCCTAAAGTTTAATTATTGTGAACACGAAATTTTTGATATTTGGCGACACAGTTTTTTTTAAAGAAATGTATCTCAAACGAAAATTCGGAAATTGTCGTTGCTTAGTTGATAAAACAAAATGTTTCAGACGATAAATTTGTCAACAATCACCTTTAGTTCATGTTCTTGTACAATACAATTTCTTGAACCTTCTGGCTGTATTTATTCCTAGTTTTTAGAATGACATGGTTATTTTTGCGCTCGAAATCTGGCTGTAAAGACGCACAATGAAGTCACTCCTTTTTACCGCCATTTTGAGCCTTCGGAAACGTTCGGAACAGCTTCTCATCAAGTTCGCAATACTATTACAGGTAAGGTTGACGCATGCGCAGACGTTTTTCCGCGGTGTTCTAGGGTACTGCCTGGTATAAGTTAAATGGGTAAATACCGTAAATGCTCGACTATAAGCCCCCCAAATATAAGCCCACCACATGTACTAACGCTCGCCACATTCAAAATATAAGCCCCCTGAATATAACACACACACCCCCGAATATAAGTCCCCCAAATTAATATAAGCCCAGTGATGCTGCTTGATACATGTTTATATTCCTGTTTATGCCCGACTTGTTTATAAAAACAAAAATTTGTCCATGCATAACCCCCCCCCTGCCCTGTATATAAGTCCCCCTCCCTTGTATAAGCCCATCAAAAATTGCTTATGAAAGTATATAAGCCCAGCGTTTATAGTAAGAGGTTTATGGTATAAAGATTGGTGTGGATAATGAATAATATTTTATGGGTATTGTAGATGGAAATTGTCAAGTGGAAATTTATATTCAGTACATTTATTTCTGAAGATCTTATTAACCAGGAAAAGAAGCAAAAAATGTAACTTTAAGTTCCTGGCCTGGCAGGAATTGAACCCACAGGCTTGTGATTCCGATGCAGTGCTCTGAGCTAGAGAGGCCAGTTGAGCTCAATCCACAAGTTCATGAAATGTATATACAAGGGTACTGCCATATATAGGAATAATAGGATATGGGTAAATATTGAAAAAAATGCAACTTTAGGTTCCTGGCAGGAATTAAACCTGTTGCCCTGCAATTCCAGTGCAGTTCTCTGACCAACTGAGCTACAAAGGCCAGTTGTCAAGCTCTAACCACAAGTTCATGTATGTATATATATTAGGGTACTGCCATGTATATAAGGCAAAAAAAAAATATGTGGGTTTCCGGTTTCTTCTTATAAAAACTTAGGTAGGGTAGGTCGGTTTTAACTTCTTTTTTTTAATTTTCCGAATAAGCGGATGCCATTTTGTTTAGTCAGTGCTTCCACATCCAAAGATAAATTTCCCTAATATTGCCTCAAATTTCAATTTTCCACAAACTTTTTCCTCTAAGTGGAAACACTTACAAGCATGATCCAATAAAAAAGTTTAGGGTCGGGATTTCGACGTCCAGAAGCTAGGTGCAAAGCATGGCGGCCATGATGTTTGTAAGTATGTATATGTTAAAATAAAAGATATAAAATCGGAACATTTCACTTGTTATTATAACAAAATCTGATGAAACCATTTCAGTTTGCCTTGCAAATTCAAGCATGGCATAAAATATAAATGGATGGACATGTGACGTTATTAATGTTCTATGACGTCAGTATATAACTGGAATATCAATTAACCTATATTTAATCAATACAGCTTTCCAGAAAGTACCTCACTTTGTCAACAGAGCCTTGTTTCGTGTATTTGACACCAGTTAATTTTAGGGCATATAGTGAAAACATGGCATACAAACCATATACCAAGAGTGTTTTAAAAGCCCTACATCGCTTATCATGAAAGTGAGGCTATTCAGGTTAAATTACTCAGGTCACTGTCCCTTACATATGATTTTATTTTATGCAGGCAAACCTGATGATCAATTTTTGACTAGATGTCCTCCCAAACAGTCATGTTTAGATTCGGTGAATACACCTTATAGTACTATTACTACAACCCATTTACCCATGTCTGTTGCCGAGCAGTCAAGTGAAATTGAGATCGGTGGATTGTCTGGTGAATCCCGACAAGATAATGTGTTGAAAAAAACATGCTGTAAAACTGAGCTTTTAGAGAAATATTTTAGATCTGGTTTGCGATTATGCCCTGAAGAACTTCTTGTGTATTTGTTGATGAAAATCCAATTTAAAACATCCACATTCACCAGGCATCATTCAATATCGCAGTACAAGAGGATTACTGAAGCTATCTCAAAAATATCTGGTGTCGAGTTTGAAGCGACTGCTAATCGCTGTTTCTTTCCAAGAATTTCATGCAATGAATTAAAATCGACTGTCACTAAAGAAAATGGGAAGGTGAGATAGAGCTGTTTCAGCAAAAAAGTGGATGAATTACTCCATGTTTCTGGGATGGAACTAGAAAGAATGACTCAAACTACAGTAGCAATACAAGAAGATGTAATCGTCCAGATAAGTGATCAGCTGAAACGAATATGTTCCATGGAGAAAGAAAGTTTAGAGAAGATCTCTGCAGAAACCTTTGTTGATCAATTCAATAACATCATCAGACCACGTTTGTCAGATTCGTCAAAATGGATACCATGGTTCAATACAGAAAATGGAGATATCTGTTTGTTTAGTTTTGGTGCATCACCAGGTTACGCTGAGAAAGAGGTGCGATTGTCTACAACGTTCAAATGGAAACTGTATTTAAAAGCGACCGAAAGAGACGTGTCTAACTGCGACGTATTATCCTCACTCCCAAGAAATATAGGAACAGTAGAACTTTTGGTACAGCTACTCAGCACAATTGATAACTGCAAGATATGTGATAGATGTTGGGAAACGGAGAAGTATCATTCGCTAATTGGCGATTCCTGTGACGAACTGTATAAAACAAAAGATGGAAAAAAATGCTGTTCCAATAGAAAAAGATAAAGTGAGATCGACAAGTTGTCATCTTTTTAGTGCCAAAGGACGCAACCCTTTGTCCAACATGTATGAAGTGTTGTCATTACTTGAGAACTTTGCTGTCAAGGAAGAAATCATAAAGAACCACACAACATCCAGAAAAAGAACGATTAGACTATAAATCTAAACCCGACCTGCCAGATGTTGCTAGACAATCATCAACTCTTTTAAAACGTCTAAAAACTAAGAATAATAGGTTGGAGTTGGCGATGGAGAATATGGTTGATGTAGGTCAAAGCTCTAACAATGATTTAAAAACAATGTTTAATGATTTGTACACTGGGTGGCAAGAGAACAGAAACAAACAAAAAAGTTCTGTTTGCCTTAGTCCTGTTTGACATATTTGAAGACGTAGAGGATTTGTATCGCCATTGTAAGTCTCATGTGGATACTTCTAAAATCGCTCCAATTAATAGAAAATACGAGTGCAAGTGGAGAAGATGTACGAAATCGTACAGGAAACTTAGGCTTCTGGAGAACCATTTACGTGATCACACTAGTAGCATGAATGATAGTTTTTTGGAAATATTGCTTTCAGATCAAGCAAAAGCCGTAACAACAGAACCTCGGCAAATGAGATGGCATCCTGCTGTGATAAGATGGTGTTTACGACTTTACCTCAAATCCCACTCAATGTACGGTGACCTATGCTAACTCAGGTGGCTTGAAGGTACCAAGCGGGAGGACATTGTCAGACTACAACTACAACAACTTCTGTGCACCACAATCTGGCTGGAAAAAAGATAACCTTGAATTGAATGAAGAAAATTAATGAAGAAAATATTTAATCAGGGATGTCCGATTCAGCATAGCAGGTATAAACGGAGCCCTGGCTACAAACAAAATTACAGAATTACAACAATTACAACATATATCATAAATATTTACATACAATCTAATATTATGATAAAGTCTAAAGAATATTATTAAAGGAACTTTCCTTTAGGAACTTCTTAAGATCTATCTTAAATTTTGAAAACCTAGTTTCATTTCTAAAACTTGATGGTAGCGAATTCGATGTTTTTGCTCCATTGTATCGAAAGGAGCCTTGATACTTTTTCGTTCTTGCTAAAGGTAATCGGAGTAAATCCCTATTTCTAGTATTATAGGCATGGATTTCATTTGCGAATCTAAATTCATGCAATAAATATGCAGGTGCTAGACCATTCAGGCACTTAAAAACATGCAAGCAAATTTGATAGGCACTACGAGTTTGTAAGGATAGCCAACTAAAAATTAGGTTAATGTCGCACTGCCTGATTCTACTCCCCTCAATGATACTAGCTGCCCTCCTTTGAAGCTTGTCTAGGAAGTTGCAGTTTGTTTTGCCACAGCTATCCCATATTGAGGAGCAGTAATCAAACAGAGGCAAAATCATAGCATTATACAATGTAATACATGTCTCCCGAGGCAGGATGCTTCGCACCTTTTGCAGCATACCCAACCTAGATGAAATTTTATTGGTAATAAAGTCGATATGATCATTCCATGACAGACATGGATCAAGTACAACACCAAGATATTTGTACTTAAATTAATGAAAGATCAGTTTCAGAAGAAGAGACCTCCAAAGCGAGCTCATCTAGGCGGATTATTTTTTGATGAGATGAAAATTAAGGAAGGATTAGTGTAAGAATTGGGAATTGATTGGATTCACAGACATATCTTTAGATCTTGTTGGTGTAGAAACAAAGAACAACACGCTGGATAGGCTGGCAACACATGCTTTACAATTCTTTTTCTGTAGTACTTTCTTTAACTTTGACTACCCACATGCTTTTTTTCTGACCAACAACACGACTGCTTTGGAAATAAATTGCTTATTTTGGCTTGGAGTTAGTATGCTGCATACATATGGTTTCGAAGTTATTCTTAGCTGTTGCAATGGTGCCTCATCAAACAGATCATTTATTGAACTAAATACTGGAGACAGCGAAAAATGTTCGTGTTTCAATCCGTTTTCTGGCAAACCAATTTTCTTCTTCTCTGATAGTGCAACCAAGATGGCTGCCACTATGAAATTTTAGTTGACGATGAAAACAGGCTTTTAGTATATAATTTTTTTGTTTACATTGACTGATCTTTGATAAATTGTGAAGGTAAATATATATAGATTTATACCATCAAAATCTCAAACGAAAATATCCGAAGAAACAAACAAAATAATCAAAATATGTCCTCAACGAAAAACAAGAGTCCTGATCTCTCGTTTATGAGATATCAATTCGACAAATTTAAAAATACCAAGGCTCGCGAAGTCCCTTTCGAGGAAGTGGATTATTCAATCTACAAAGCATCGTCAAATTGCATAGCATTTAAAACCTCGGAGAAAAGAATCGGAACGTGGATCAAAACATTTTATTACCGATATCACGCTGGCAACTCTGAAATATTTCAACACCACGACGAAGATTCAAATAATATCGCTAGATCACTGATAACACCGTGGGAAGAACAGGCTGCTTATAATGACAACACTAAATGTGAGAAGATAACTCTGAGCCTAGCAATTCAAGATAAAAACCAGCAAGAAAACATTGCTACCATAATAATATATTGCAGCACAGGAATAATCCAAATTCAAGGCTGCTTACTTCATGAGTGGGGTGATAAAGAATTTCCGATATTGAAAGATCTTGTCGACAGAAACCCAGAAGAATCCAGCACATTAACAAAAGAGTTGGAAAATTTTCTGAAATCATGTCTGAATAAATCCCAACCAACAACAGAGGAGAGTTCCATCCCTACTTTTACCCCTGCTAAAACTGTATCAGAATCCTCCCCAGAACCTCGAACAAACCAAAATCCAGCTCGTGAATCAATTTCCACTATCAAAAACATTATGGCAAACCTGGAATTAAACTTTGTGGCATTCCAACAAGAAGTTATTAAATCTTTTGAAGATTTGAAAAATGAAAAGAAGGAAAAAGACAAGGAATTAGAACAGCTGAAGAAAAGAATTTTTTTGCTGGAAGCATCAAATGAACTTTTGTTAAAGGAAAACACAAATCTTGTTGCCATCCTGAAAAAACAAACGACCATTGAGAAGAAACTCAAAAATATTACTACCCAACTAGAAGAAAACCATGGAAAAAACACCAAACAACATGATAGCAAATCCTCTAGTATGATTGATGCAAGTAAAAATACTGAAAAAATGAGAAATACAGAGCTCCACCCCCAGACTGACCCTGACCTACCATCAACTGAAGATACAAACACCCCCAGCCACATTCTACACCCCAGTTGACACAAGGAACCCATTCTTAATTCTTGAAGACGAAAAAACAGAGCCGAGACTTGATAATGATAAAATTCAAAGAGTTAATAAAGAAGAAGCAACTTTGACAAATAAAATAATTACAGAAAGCACAATCATCCTATGCGATTCCAATGGTCACAAATTAGATACTAAATTACTCTGCCCAGATACATCTTCAGCTTACATCAGATGTCCAACAATCGAAAGTGCTGAAAATATCCTGAAACAACATGACCTTAAAAATCCAAAAACAATTATTCTACATTCAGGTATAAATGATATTGAAAAACGTTCAGTTGAAAGCATTTGTAAAGACACTCATTCACTTCTCTCCTTCATCAAATCGAAACACCCACATACCCGGATAATTCTCTCAAGCCTACTACCTCGTAACGACTATCTTCTTGAAAAAGCACAAAAACTTAACAAACAGCTAATCAAAATCTCCTTCGAATTCACCAACACTAACCTTGTGAAACATGATAACCTTTTCAGGTCTACTGCCATCCTTTACGACAAGAAACACCTCAACAGCAAAGGCGTGAAGATATTTGCAAAAAACCTGAAAGGGTGCTTATTTTGGTACAACAAAGAAATACCAACCCACCAACAGATCATCCCACCAACAACCCTCAACAATGTATCATCCAGCCAGGAAAACAACCTTCCCTCCCTTTCATCAACCATGTCCTATTACCCCAACACTTCCACACTTCCAACATCCTTCGTCCCATCCAGCAGTCAGAACAAATGGCAATGCAAACCAATGGAATAGTTTAGTCAATTATAACATTCCAGAAAAGTTGACCGAGCTGGTAACCGTCCTTCAAAGGTTCCTTCAATAAAGTGAAATGGTCTGTGAGTATCCAAAACTGACTAACTCGATTATATTTTAACTTTCTATTAATATTATTTAGTATAATGTACTCACATGTAGGGTAATATAAGCCCATATGTGTGTGCATACCTAAAGCTTTCCTCTTCCTTATTACTCTAAAAATCAATTTATCCCAGATCAGTCAATATTTCCAAAATTTATTTCTACAATATTAAATTGAGTATTAATGCATTCTAGGCTCTCTATTAGTGCTTGGAATATACATGGTTTAAAACATAAAACACTTGGTGACAAACTAAGCAACATTGATTTTATAGAAAATGTTAAAGACCTTGATTTAATATTTCTGACTGAAACATGGTCTAACGAGATTAACAGCATTCCTGGTTTCGTGACATTATCCACCATCACGGCAACCCGGAAATCAAATTCGGCTTGTCGCTTGTCTGGCAGAATTTCACTTTTATTCAAAAAGGAATTTGAAAATGCTATCTTTATTGAAAAACAAACAAAAAATTTC